ATGGAAATCGTATCTTACTCTGATTGTTTTTTCCTTGTGGAGAAATTCAAATAAATCGAATTATCTTCCATCTTAAATTTAATTTTCCAGTCACGGTGGATGAGGTTTATGGGTCAACTATTTGGCTCTTTGGATGAATATTCATTTAAACAAGTTTTCCCACTGTTGATTTTCAAACATCAAAATACCACATCTTAGAGGACTTAAAACATTTACTGCATTTGTGAAATTTAAAATCATCCCAAGGGTTGACTCTGGCTTTTTGGCTGTTGCTGTTGCTGCTTTGGAGAAGGTTATGTGTTTATCCATAACACCCTTGGAATCAATCTGTCTCATTCCCCCTGCAGTGGGGCAGCTCTTTCAAGTTCAGCAAGGAAGCCAAATCAAGTACTAACCCCTACCGTTTCAATCAGCATCTGAAAAACAACAGCAAATGCCAGCCCCACATGGAAGAGACCACTTATGCACACTCGTGCTGTAAAGAGAGGAGACACTAATATTCTGTTAAACCCATTGAACACTTACTCAAATTGCTTCATCAGCATATTCACATGTAGGAAAAAACGTGAGCAAATTCTACTGTGGAAAGAAACTATACATTACTATAGAAAGAAAATGAGATAGGCTGCAGTTTCTGGCTCAAGTTGGGAATTAGACTATCATCCTTTCATTAGAGCCAAAGGACGCTTATACTGCACACTTCAAAGAGCTCTCCAAGTGAGAAGAATCCAGTAACTTCCAAATACACTCTGCCTTCCGACCTTTTTCCTGTATTGGTCAGGCAGGTTTTAAGCAGAAGAAAATGAAAGATAGGACTCATGCTTCATTCACTCACTTCCTACAGTAATTTAAATGCTGAGGTGTCCTAAAACTTGGGATAGTCTTTGGAAACTAAGCCAAGGAATTTTTTTTCTTGTTTATTCTGGTCCAGTGCAAATATTTGTCTATTGAGAAATATATAACACTTTAGAATCGTAGACCCACCATCTGCTTAAAGTGAGCCAACACCCACCCGCAAGGAGACGGATACAGGCTGGCATCCTGTTTCCGACGCCTTGCAGCCCCGGTTTGTTTGAACTGCCCCACACTGATTTCCTGATGAACTAACAAAAGGGCATGCACACTTTTGCAGCCCATGAAGATTACTTTCAGGTTCTCTTCTGTAATCTTGTCACGAAATTGGGGTCAAAAGGAGGCTAAAAAATACTATCAGCCTTGGGTACATGGGTGCATCTGTGAATTCTTTATGCTAATGATCTGGTACAAGGAAGGATGAATAAATAAGTCACTGCCGTTTTGCAGTTACGACAGCAGGTCTGACTGTCCACATTAGCCGAGAGAGAAAGAGATCTTCGTTGGTGGAGAGGGTGATGGCAAAACAGGCACCCTGTGCTCAGGGGTTTGTCTTTTTAAATGACCGGAAGTCCTCATTTAACTGACAAGGACATTGGGCTGACACTTGACCTCAGAGTTCCGCCTGAAATACTTGATCCCTACTTAACAATAAGCTTATAAAACCTGGGAAATGAATCTGTAGTGGAGCATTGTTCCTTGAAGCAGCTGCCATTTTTTTCTTTCCCTTTCTTTTCTTTCTTTTTCTTTTGGCCATTTCTTTTTCAAGAAGCCCCCCAGAGGACAAAAATTTCAGGATGAACGAATGTCACCTCCCCTGAAGTGTCCCCCTGCAGGGCTCCCCTCTGTGATTGTCCTTTGGGAAGACTTGAATACAAAGTGAAGACAGAAAGGTGACTGGCTATTATATTTCAGAGTCTGAAAGTTTTGAAACCAATTACCAAGGAACTTTTAGGAAGGTTTTAGAGTTGTATTAACATGCTGGAACCATGAAACCTGATTGTCTAAGACCCCCGGGGGCACTTATACAGGTTATTTGTCAAATCTCATCATGAAAGCAATTCAGCTATACCTTAATTATACCTTTTGGGCCACATTGCTTCTGCCTGCAACTTTTCTTAGCATACCAAAGAGTTATATGTTTAGTGTAAATAAAATTCTTAAGTGTCCCTTAAGATCAATCCAATGAGAAGAGAGTGACCTCAATGTGGTACCAGATGCAGGTTTTTTGGTAAATAGACGGTTTTAAGGGATTGTTGAAAGACCACTTACTGTTATACCTGGAATCTCTAAAACCTTAATCTTTCCAGCTTTCAAGCATTAAACGTGGACATGCAGGTGAAGGTGTTCATCGTGAACATCTTACGGAGGACAGTGAAAGTTGCTGAAGTGAGGATGTACCTAGAGCCAGAACAGCAGAGAAAGGCTTTGGTTGTGGGTAATGTCATGACGACAATGTAGAACTCAGGAGGAGGTTTTAAGAAAGTACAGAATGCCACCAAAGGTAGGGTCATCTTTAACATTTTTCTCTGTGTACCATGCATAGCATGGCAATGTAAGAAACATAGGTCATTTCCATCAGGGGTTGTAAATGAGGGGGCGTGTGAGGACATGCCTCCTCTCCTGGCCCCCAAGATTCTCAGGTTGAGCATCAGAGTCGCCCTGAGTCAGCAGAGGCTGATGGAAGCTTGTTCTTTGGTTGGTGAGGGGTCGAGGCTCAAAGCTGGTAATGACAACAGCGCCTACAGTTCTTTTATAAAACATTATTTGCAATCAACATGAACTGTCCTTCTTTTATAAAGGACATACTCTGAATATTTTCAGTTGTTGCACAATGTAAGTTTTGGTTAAGTCTTGTGGTTTGACCACATGAAACTCTAAAGCAGAATAGGATGGCGGTGAGGTGTGCTGACCCCAGGTCCAGACTCGCTGGGTTTGAGTAGTGGCTCCGAGAATTAGAGGTGACCTTTTTTGAAAAAACAAACAAACAAAAAAAACAAGTTATTGGACATCTTCAGGCCCCAGCTAACACATAGGTGGAATGAGGGTAATAGTATTTCACGTTTGTGGTGGGGTATTCGTGAGATAATCCAGGCAAAAGCCTCAGCACAGGGACTGGCACACATAGATATTCATCATATACTTGCTTTAGTAATGAGTAAAAGTACCTTATATTATGTAGTCAGCTCTTTCTCTGGGAATGACTCTTGGTTTTGAACTAGAACCACAGCATTAGCTTTAGGTAGTTCCTAAGCTTGACTAAATGAATTTATTTTATAAAACTCTTTGGGTATTGAAATAATATTAATTTGGGAATAAATTAGAAATTTATTCGGAGGATGGAACGAGAGCCTGACAAACTTCCTGTGAGAACGGACTCATCGGGTCCAGCCGGGCCTCTCTGAGAGTGTGCGATGGGAAGTTGGCCTTTCCTTACCCACGGAAACCATGCAAATCAGGGAGGGGAGGGGAGGGCAGGGCATCTGCACCGCTTTGCTACAGCTGCAGTGAAGATGCCACACAGGGGTGAAGTAACAACAACTCGGTTGCCTCAGAGTTCCGGAGGCTAGAGCTGAGGTCACGGTGTTGCCAAGACTGGTTCCTTCTTGGGGGCTCCATACCTGTCACCTCGCTTCTGGCGGTTCAGTGGCAACCTTTGGTGTCATTCCTTGGCTTCTGCTATGAGGCCCAGATCTGGGCCTTCATCTTCTCGTGACGTTCTCTCTGTGTGCATGTCTGTGCTCTTTCCCCTTCTTATGTCACGTTAGATCAGGAGTCCACTATGCTCTAACAGGGCCTCATCTTAACTTAATGAATTATATAGTCGATAACTCTAGTTTCAAATAAGCTCTTATTCTGTAGTACTGAAGGTTTAGAACCTCAGCCTATGAATTGGGGGAGAGGTGGATACAATTTAAACTGTAACAGCATCCTTCCTCTTCTGGAAGTAACTCTAAAATACTTCCAGAATTTGCAGTAATCAATACTCGGCAAAAATCCATTGCACGATTATAAAGTTGTAGACAGTAGATTTGTTTCATGTCTTATGAGATTATGTTTATAAACTGGTATTAATAAAGTTAATCACTGAAAGCACCAGAGGACTTGGGAAAGGACGGCATCCTGCTGTTACTGCTGGCTCAACACTCACGATTTGTTTTGCGAGTGTGTGTGTGTGTGTGTGTGTGTGTGTAGAGGAAGAGAGCGGTTGCTTTCAAGGGCTTTCCATTTAGCAAAAAAAAGATAGACATTTTATCAAAAATGACTTTTTAAAAAACAGAATTAAGCTTATCTTTCTTTACTTAGTAAGGATGTTTATGAATACACATATTGTGTGTTATGCCTCATTTTTAGTGTGATGTGCTTTAAAAAGTTCTACTCCAAACTCTCAAGCAAATCTCTGCAAATCTTCATAGGATGTAAATCAGTATGTTGAAAATGGTCAGTTTGCCTGAGCTTAGCACAGCATCTTTAAACCTGATCTAAAATTTTGAAAGGTTCTTCCAAGAAAACCCTGCATACCCTTATATTTTGGAGTTAACCCAATGAACAAGAGTTTTTTTAGCCCCAGCGGTATGGCTTATTCTCTCTTTCATTATATTGGTTTCTGTATGGTGGAATACATTCTTCTGTCAGTCAAGATTCACGGGTGCTTCATCTGTGCGAAGCCTGGCAGCCCTACTGGAAGGTGGGGCGGTGTCCCCACTGCTCCCACATCATCCTGTTACATTACTTAAAGAGGAGTTATTTTCATCAGTTGTAGATCTTACCACTGGGCTATGAATGTTACAAGGGAACAATATCGCCTTATTTTTGTCTAGTTCATCTTTTATCTCAGGAAACCGAGCACAATGTTTGGTAAAGAGTATAAACAAAATGAGTAATTGGCAAGTGATCAAATCTAAACCACTAATTTCATACAGTGGAGAAATTAGAAATTCAACTACCTTATAGAGTTTCATTGTTAAAGTAGGGTAGAAAAGAAAACTAAATTGGTTACAAGATTACACTGACTAATATAACTTACCAAATAATTGTATATATTACATATGTATATGAAGTATTAGCATATATAGAATTATACCCATAATTAAATTATATATAATAAAACATAATCATATGTGTATTAAAATACAGAGGCACATACATTTTTATGTTAAAGAAGAATCATTTTATTACTGAGTAACATTTTTATACTAATGCAGAAGAAGCGAACATTTTATTTCACTTATTAGTTCTTAAAACAGCACTAAACTGTCAATGGGCCTTTTCTTAGTTCACTGGCATTTTCTGCCTCTGCCCTATCGGTGGCACTGCAGAGTCAGCTATATTACTACAGTCCTCAAGCTTTAAATCCTCAAACCAGAGCATGCCAGTCCACTTTGATGTCTTAGCATTCATTAAAAAACCAACTTTCAGACTTTGATCTAAAATGAAATATAAGATGTTTAATATTTTTTTTGCACATAGATACCCAGCACTGACATCTAGTTACTGGTCAAGTAACCTACTTATACCCAAATAGGTTAGTTATTAAATCTGCTTTAAATGAATGGAATACTGATGACATAAAACCTGGAAAATACTTTTCTTTCTCTGACTCATGGAACAGTGGAATTAATAAAAAATCTATGCCATAGACATTGCATATCTATCTCATATTAAAGTATACTTTTATATCTCAAAATAATTAAAAAAGCAATCAAATCCTAGGGGGAGGAAAATTTTTGTCTATCTGAAATATTCTCTTGCTTCTGAAAATTATTCCCAGCTGATCATAAGAATTTTTGTTCCATTAAAAAATTAGGAATTTTTGTGGTATGTCAAGGAACAGAGGACATGGTACGGATCCTCCAGGACTTTCTGGGAAGAACTGAACTGGTGGTTAGATGTTCGGTAATTTCAGATGGGATGCAATCCTCTCCTGCCAGTTAACTGGAGAAAAGTTTTGGTCTTCCAGAGGTAGTTACACTTTTCTTAAAATTATTAAAAGTGTTAAATATCTGCCCAATAATTATATTAAGAAAAATACATAGTTAAAATTTTGAAAGATATATTTGATTTATAGTAATTGGTTTTTAAATGTCTACTTTAATTTAAGGCAGAAAAGAAGTAAATGGTTAACTCTGAAATATGCTGTCGAAAGTTCAAGTAATAAGTGCACAAAGCTACATGCATTTGCTCCGCAACATGCACATTATTTATGACCTGCTCTAGCAGGCTCAAGACAGCAGATACAGCGGAGAAGCAGATACAGTGGAGAAGCAGATACAGCAGAGGAGCAGATACAGCAGAGGAGCAGATACAGCAGGTTCCCTGGTGGAGTGCATGCGAAGTGAAAAGAATAAAGGAAACCAGTGCAGGCCGCTCTTATTTAAGGCCCCTCCTGTCTCTCCCCTAACCCAGCTCTAATTTAAGGCCCCTCTTATTTAAGGCCCCTCCTGTCTCTCCCCTAACCCAGCTCTAGCTTGTGATGAGCTTTCTTTGTTACCCTGGCAGACAGCAGGCTAACTATTACATTGTCATGCTCTGGTTCTGACATTTATTAAGCTATAATTTTACCTTTATAAGAATATTTCAGACACATGTAAGAGGGATAAATAATAATGGGAAAATTACAATGAACAAAGTATTAAAAAATCTAACTAGTAATGTTACAGGATCCATATACTTGCACATTTAGTATTAGTCCATTAGCCAGAAGGTGGTCTTCATGACATTTCACCTCTTTAAGGTAATCCCTTATAATTCCGATTGAATAAGTTTTAATGCTTTCTTCATGTTTTCTATCACTGAAATAAAAATACATATATGCTATTCTCTTAGTAAATGAAAGTATCAAATGTAATCTTATAACCACTGAATCTAAAATTGGCCCATTTAAGTTAATAGCTATGAAAATATGGGGATTTATCTACAACATTAAAGAGTATTGCCTTCGTGGACCTCATCTGAACCCCCAACACCCAATAAAGTTTCTTTACACACACACACATACACACACACACACAGAAGAATATTATACTAAAGGTGTACATGTAGATATGTATGTTTAGTGATTATACCATTGAAATCTGGTTCATCAACTTTTGTATGGTAAAATAAACCATTTTATAAGAGGGTTTTTAGGGAGCATATATTTTTTAACTGATCATTTTGTATCTGTATCAGCAAATCTTATTAAATATAATTGACAGTGAATGTTGTAAAAATTAGATTAAGCCCTGGCCAGGAGGCTCAGTCGGGTGGAGCATCATCCCATGCACCAAAGGGCAGCGGGTCTGATTCCTGGTCAGGACACAGACCTAGGTCGTGGGTGTGACTGGCAGTCGCACGTGTGGGAGGTAACTGATCAATGTTTCTCTCTCACATCGATGTTGCTCTCTCTCCCTTTCTCTCTCTCTCTCTCAAAATCGATAAACATATCCTTGAGTGAGGATTTAAAACGAAAGGTTTCAAAGTACCCTAGAAATTCTGATTTTGATGGTAGCTAACATTTGAAATCCTGCCATCCCTCCTACCCCAGTGGTTCTGATTTGCTGATAGCCCTGTTTGTGGGGAGGCACCGATGTGGAGCATCATGGACCATCCTAACAGTCATGCATCCCCTAGTACCACTGCTCAACATCATTTGTGAGTGCTTACGTATTGGTAAATCCCGAGGCTCATATGTATACAGCCTATTAGAGTATCTTCCAGTTATATCAGCTCTGACTGTCAAAGAAGGATCTGCAAAGAAAGCACAATTCAGTCATGCATTTTATCTCAATTGTTCTTAAAATCATTCTTGCTTCTTAATCTAAAACAAATCAATGTTATACAAATTTATAATGAGTTAACCTGATTTTTTTTTAAAATTTTAGTGTGTCACAGCTTTCTGTCAATGCAGTTTGAGGAACTTTCCTGAAGAAAGTACATTAGGATATTGATTTAATGGCATCAGTTAGTTTAAAAATATTTAAATTTACATATTATAAATACAGTGCATTTCAATTGTAGAACTAACAAGAGTTGTTACTGAGTTAGAAATGGCTTCCCCTGAACTAGCATTTAAAGATAAAGAAAAGCAGGAATGCTGTCTGTTTTGTGAACCTAGTGAAATGAGATCACACACATACCCACAAACATGATTCTGGGCACATATTGTCCATCTGGTGATAAATTTTTATCTGTGGTCTCATGCTAGTAAGAGAAGAAAAAATATTATTGGATTGGATTGTTTTCGATAGTCAATCTTGAAAATAATATTTCAGGTGAACAAGGTTTTCATAAATTGTATGTTTTGGCTCTTCACAATTTCATGTAGCATTTTATATCCATCAATACTTTATAGCTCTTTTTTGTCTTAAAAGCAGAAAAAAAGGGATTAAAATTTTCCAATGAATCATGATATCAAGAAAATACTATAGACATCATGTACCATGAGATTCAACATGATGAAGTTATTTTGAGCCATTTCTTGTATTTCTTCATTTTGAGCAAACACTTTTTTGAGAGCTGTGGGAGAAAATGTAATGAACATCAGTCAGTTTTAAGGATAAAGACACCTTCAGTGTAAATAACATAGCACAGTAGAAGTACCATTTCCATTTGCATCCGTATCTTCGATGCAAACAGTCCACTGGCCCATGGCCACTTTGTGTCTCATTGGGAGACAACGATGGACAGAGTCATCCATTATGATGTCAGGGGATAATCCCATTAATGAAGCCAACAGTTTTATAACTGCATGTAACTCACTGGTTAAAACAGCATGTTCAGCAACTTTTCCTACCTCCTCCCCCTTTTTTTTTTTGGTGGGAGGAAGAAAGAAATAAAATTCTAAAGAGCATATAATATAAATATATTCAATGGACTGCTAACAATAATTATAATTTTTAAGCACTTGAATAAAATGATGGCATGGCAATTGTCTTTTTATTTTATTTTTTAAAAGATTTTATTTATTTTTAGAGAGGGGGAGGGAGAGAGAGGGAAAGAGAGGGAGAGAAACAACAATGTGTGGTTGCCTTTCATGTGCCCCGTACTGGGGACCTGGCCCAAAACCCAGGCATGTGCCCTGACTGGGAAATGAACTGGCGACACTTTGGCTCGCAGGCCTGCGCTCAATCCATTGAACTACACCAGCCAGAACTCTTTTTATTTTTTAATGAGATTTGCTGACTGTTGCCTTAACAATGTTCACCAGGTCAGTTTTTCTAGTTCTTTTGGAAATACAGTAAGAGCTCAGGAGCTGAAATTACCTTGGCAGTACTGGCAGTCCTCCAAGTGATGAATAACCATCAACGGCTTGTTACTAAGCAGAGAGATGATAATGCAGGGGAGTGATTAACTCTGAGTCAGATGCATAGTGAAGTTAGATTTCAAGTTTGCACACTTTCAAGAAGACTTAAAAATATTGATATTATTGACAAATCATAGCAATGTAGACTGTAGTAGCCTCACTCAACACACGGCCCCAGGATTTTAAGCATTGCCTGGTAGCTCAAGGAAAATGGAAGTTCTCAGGCTCTATCCCAGACCCACTCAGAGCCTCTGGGGTGGGGGCCAGGAATCTGTAGCTTAACCAGCTCACCAGGTCATTGCTATGTACCCGATAGTGTGGTTATAAAAATCCAAATCAATTCTGTCTTGAGAGGTGAAAGGATATTATAAATAAGATGTTAATTTCCAACAAATACCTGGTATGAGGGTTCAGGAGAGTCCCATTTTTAATTTAGGGTGTTTTTCTTAGTTTTCACAAAAATTCTATTACTATTTGACTATTTTCACATCCTTTCATTCTTGTAACAACTCACAATATACAAATAATCTCAGTGAGAGTTCCCTCTCTGTATATTTTTCAGTTTTATTTTTATTTTAACTCCCTGAAAAAGAAGTTTTTGTGGTAGCTAATTGATTTTCTTGCTTGTTAGACTAAGAAAACAATTATGATATTAACTATAATGAAGGAAAAAGGAATTATGATTTGTATATGTAGGACTTTTTTAAATGTTTCTTTAGTTTTGAGAGGATGCTGGGTACAAAAAGAGACAGAGTCTGACGTATGAGTATTAACATAAATCTTTTAAGAACAACAGATAATTTTGTGAAATACTTATCATTGAATGAACCTATTTTTAAAACTTCTTCTCAAATGTGTTAAATAACAGACTTTGAAATGTTATGAATTTTATTTAATCCTCAAACTTGAAATATAAGTAAATTTTAGGTAATAATAAATCCTAAAACTCGCCTTTAAGCTTTACGGCAGATATAAAGCTAGTCATTTGCCAACAACTTCAAACTTATTGATGAAAAAGCAGACTAGAAATCCGATGAATGAAATATTATTCCTACTTTTTAAGAAAACTAACCTTAAGAATATTCATTGCCAGTTTTTTAGAGCTAAGCATAGACTTTGGTCCTCCTATGCATCAAGTGGCAACCCTTCTACTACGTAAGTCTTCTTCTGGGTGCTCTCAGGCAGGTGAAGGGGTCCTGAGACAGAACAGCTTAGCGGCACGAGTCATTCTAATTTCTTCCTGGCACCTGCCCAACAGCTGGAAATGAGGGCAGACAGGTGTAGGGAAAGACATCGATATCACTCTTGCAAAACTAATTTCCTCATCAGATTTCTGGGCAATACGAGTCCAAGGAAAAAGTTATCAAGACCACAGAAATCTCAGTCTTAACAGTTCAGCTATGAATAGGTTGTTCAGGTATTCAAACCAAGGCACCATTTCATTTCAGGAAAAGTAGAGAAGTGTTTTGGGCAGACGCTGAAGTAGGAACAGCCTTTATAAAAAGGGCTCTTTCCAGCAAAGAGGTGAGTTGTAAATATTTGAGGTTTTGCAGGCTGTGGGGTCTTATTCGTAGCTATTCAAGTCTGCCATCACCGCACAAAACAGCCCGGGACAATATGTAACAAATGAGTGTTGCCGTATTCCGGTGAATCTAAATGTATGAATCCTGCAACTTGAATATCATGTAACTTTCAAATACTCGTTTTCTTTTGATTAAAATTTTTTAAAAGTAGAAGTCATCGTTAGTTTACAGATCAGATAAAATCAGGTGGTTTCTGGTCTAAAATGTCATGAACTGGCCCACCAGATTGTGATAAACTTCAGTTGAAAGAAAGAGAAAAATTGTTTGTGGCTGTACTTCTGAGACTCTCTAAAACCAGAGCCTACCAAGCCCAGTTTATCAGCATCATTTGGTGAATAATCTTTTAAAATTCTACTGTTTTTTTCTTTTAAAATGGGCCACAAATACAAATAGTTTAAAACCCAGAAGTTAAAAGGTAAAAATTCCCCGCCCCAGCTCCTGCCTTCCAGAAATAAACAGTGCTACCATTTCCTACACATCCTTCCGGAGGTGTTCAGGTCATGTGCCTGAGTATGTGTGTGTACATGGATACATACATGCTCATGTATATAGTTAGCATATGTATGTGTTTATGTGTGCATAGACTTCTACAAATGTGTGAGATTATGTTTATGCACACAAATATGTCGATGTGTATGCCCATATGATGCTCCTGTGTATGTGTGTATTCCTTTCTTTAAAAAATAAATATAACCATGCTATACACATGTATTTGCATTTTGCTTTTTTAAAACAAGTTTCCCAGCTTCATCCACACAGATTTATTAAGCCAGTAAGGATAAAACTTGGGCCACTGTTGGTCACTGGGCATGGAACAGTGCCTGGCACAGAGCAGTGGCCACTCAGTAAGTATTTGACTGATTGATCATGGATATGGATTTTAAAGAAAATTCTCTGAATTGTTCTGATCAGACAGGCTTGGGAACTGTTATTCTAAGCCAGTTTCCTGTGTAAACTTATATAATGATGACCAGCATTGTTCTTTTATACAACTTATACTAAAAACTTGCTTGGCTAATTAAGAAATTAATATAAAGTATTTAGAGCTCTTATTTACTAAAAAACATTCTAATGACAACTCCTAGTTGAAAGAGCATACAGTAGTAGGGCAAATACTTGTGGTATCCTTTTAAAAAAGCTAACTTGCTAGTAGATTTTCTCTTCTGTGAGGAGGTATCTGTATGATCTGTCAAAATTAACTGAGAGATATGTTACCTTTTTTGAATATGGAAGAGACCTTCTTCATAAGTCTGCACCCAAGTGATGTCATCGCCCCATCCTGAAACAGAAGAGAAGTCAGTGCGTTAACTCAGGACCGCAGAAGAACTCTGAACAGGCTTGTGACAAGCAGACACCTATTTACACATACTTAAGCTGCCGAGCAGTCGCTTGACATGTGGTAAAGAGGATAATTAGATATCCTCTACTAGAAGCAGTACCCTTGCAGATGATAGTGCTGAGGTTTTGTGACTGTGTTTCGGCCCTCAAGGTCTATGGCCTTGAACCCAGTAAGTGCTCAATAAATGCTGTTATTAGTGATGATCGAAAAGACATCTCTGGAGCATGCAAAACCTCTGGTTTCAGAATGAACAGCAGTCAATAACAGTTACTCTTTGCATACTTTGTAAGTTTACTAGGAATATTTTGGATCACACTATACAGTGCCCTTCTGTCTCGGGTGCTGAGAGATGCTGACTTCTTCTAAGTCATATATGTCGTGACCAAAGGAATTCCCAATTTTGCTTTGAATTTTGATTCAGAAAAAATCCTAGTGTTTCATGGTTGAGAAACAAAATAAAATACAGCTGTTTTAGAAGCACCCAGAAGAGGGAAGGAGAGAAAAACATAAAGCAATGAGTAGAGAGAGACACACTATCTTTTAAAAAAAGTGATATGGACAGTTGGGAAACTGTATTAGGTATTAAAGAATAAGATTGTTGAGGAGAATGCCCCAAAACACTCAGAAATACTGCAGAGTATTTTCAGGAAATATCTTAGTTTACAGATGAGAAAGATTAAATTGATTTGAAAATAGAAATATGTGTAGGCTAGTTTGGGCCCAGATTTTCTTGTATGTTTCACATGCCATTAGACTGCAGTTTCTGGTTTTGGTACCACGGCGAAAAGATGGCTGGACATGATAACGCAGAATTGTGCAGTAAGATAAAACACATTTCCCTGTTTTTTCTTGTTGTTTTGCTTTTGATTTGTTCACTTTTTGGTAATAACTGTGTTAAGATATAATTCACATACAAATATGGTTCATCCATTGAAAGTGTACACTTTTTTGTATATACATGGTTGTGTAACCATCACCATAATGATCAACTCTAGAACATTTTCATCACTTCAAAAAGAAACCCTGTACTTGAGCTATCACCCCCAATTCCTCCTCCTCCCCCAGCCGTGAGAAACACCCAATCTCCTTTCTGTCTCTGTAAGTTTCTTATTCTGGATATTTCAAATAAATGGAATCATACAATATGTGGTCTTTTGTGACTGGGTCCTTTTAATTACTATAATGTCTTCACAGTTCATCCATGTTGTGGCATGTATCAGCACTTCATTCCTTTATATGGCCAAATATTATTCCGTTGTGTGGCTGTACCACATTGTATTTACCCATTCATCAGTTGATGGGCATGGGGGTTGTTTCTGCTTTGTGGCTTTTATGAACACTGCTGCTATGAACATTAGTCCACAACCTTTGGTGCAGAGATATTTTTAATTTCTCTTGTATTACATACTTCGGCAGAGAATTGCTGGGTCACATGGTATCTACATTTAATCATTCGAGGAACTGCCAGACTTTTACCCGAGTGGTTGCACTGTTGGGCACTCTTACCAGTGGTGGTGTTGGTTCATCTTTGCCTGATTTTAGTATCTTAACAATGGAAGACCTGTCACATTAGTTTTATAATCTATCTGTAATAATCCCAAAAGATTTTCTTTACAACTTTTCTTGAACATATGTAGGAACTTCACACCATATCCTGCATTAAATAAGAGTAATTCTAGGGACAGCCAGGGAGACTGGGCCCCTACTTAATTTTTCTGTTTTGTTGTAAATACCACTCAATGCCAGAACTTCAGCAACGGGAGGAATTACTGTTCTCCACTCCTGCTCCGCTTAGTCCCATGAACCTTAGAGGAACGTGTGCTGTGTGCCTTAATCCTCTGGCACTGGGAATGTGAAGGCGAGATAACACGGTGCCTGCTCTCAAACAATTCATCGTAGGGGAGCCATGTTGTATTATAATTACTTGTTATATACTTTATTCATGATCACAATAGGCCAAAAGTGATACAAGAGTTTGAACTTTCCCCAGGGTCTTTGCTCATTACCATAATTCTATTCCCAGCTATGCGTGTTTGTCCTCAGGGATTATATTTATTCATACAATATATACTTACTGGGCACCTACTATTAATATATGCCAGACACTGGGCTGGGTTTTGGGTGCTGGGCAGTTGTTTTGACTCAGAAAACAGGATTTTGAGGTCACTGTTTTATTTTTCTTTTAGGAAACTTTTATTGATTTTTCTCAATTATCTTTTCTCTTCTTTCTAACATACTCTCTACTTAACGGTTTGGCGTTGCCCCCTGTTCTAAGGAGTCGGCTCCATATATGACTTGTGTACACTGTACCCAAACTCCTCCCTCTTAGCCTTGCCGTTAACCCTCATTCATTCTGGGCCCCGTTTTCTCTCATTTCCTACATGCTAATAGGTGGTAAAAGGCTTAACCAAATGTAAACCAGTTCCTAGTGGTGGAGTTCCCCGCTGATATCAGTCATCTTCCCTATTAAAATAGTTTTTAAATAACTAAAATAGCAGACTCAACAAGTTGTTTAAAATTTACCGTGTATGTTGAGAATATTTCTTATGAAATTCACCAAACATTTTAAAAATAGATGTTTGAAAATGGATGCACAGAATGTCGGTGAATTACGGTACAGTGGCAGCATTCTGTTTAACTCAATCCTGGAGGGTCTTACAGGGCAAGGATAAATTTAGTATTCCACACTTTAACACTTCTGAGCTAACTGCTTTATAAATACTGTGATTATATAGAGAGATACATAATAAATTATACTTAGGAAAATAGTTCCTCCCTTTAATTTCTTTCTTTCTAAAAACATACTGGTCATTTTGGTTTCCAGTTTCTGTGGTTTTAAACTGAAGTAGAATGAATTAGCTCGGCTGTGCTTTGATGAGCAATTGGCTGGTACTCAATACATCTGTTAAGAAATGAATGAACTTGGAAAGACAATATTTTAATATTTGAAATGATGTTATAATTGGTTTCCATTTGTTTGCTCCGTTCCAAGGAGTGGTCAAGTGTGGTGTGGTTTGTACTACCAGTTTTCAGTTAGCTCTGTGGAGGTAAATGGTGTGGTTCCCATGCCTGTTACCTGGAGATGTAGGAGCTGATTTTGAGAGTTTTCGCTACAAATTGTTTATTTACAGATGAAGATAAATGTGTTTCTTAGGCCAAAGGAAAGCGGTAGTACAAAATAGAAATGTTTTCTAAACATGTAGCACATAATAGATTGAGATTATGATGTCAAAACCTCCGTAGCTGTTTTCTGGAGTCAATATAGCAAACACTTGGTTAAACAAGATTCTCAGAGGGCAGGATAAAATATAATTTTCTGGGGATTTTTATACAAAATAATTCTGAATTTTTATTTATTTATTTATTTTTGCCTGATAGAGGACAGGGAATTGGAGTCGATTTTGAGGGATCTTAATTGCCTTTAGGACATCATTATGACACATCAATTAATATTTTTTTTTTACCAGGACTGTGCTTACCAAAGTTTCAGGCAACCAAGCCAACTCCCCACTATTTCTGTAAAAGCTACAGCAAGTTTTAGTGTTTTTCAGTTGGTTTGGTTCACTCTTAATAGTCAACACATCCTTTCCAGGTTTTGTTTTTGCCTACTTTAAAGTGGTAAGTAACAACGTGTTCCAGTTGGCTTTGGTTTCTAAGCAGTGTTTGGGTAAGAGATGAGGAATTTTAAAACAACCCAAACGGCTGAGTGTAGAAGCGGAAATGAGATTCTAGTACCTCGTGCGAGTGTCTGAGGAGGCCTCTTGCCCTTTCTGATGGCGACGGCGAGGTTGGAAGAAACCGCGGCGAGCACGAGGCAGAGGGCTGAGGGTGACAGCAGCATCACGTGCTCTGGAGGGGCCCGCGGCAGCTGGACGATGGAAAACAGCTTTTAGAATCCAGGAGGTTCCTTCAGACCACACCTGTGCTCACAGTTTGCTCTGCTTGTGTGAGTTGACACCGTACAACTTCCTAGAACTTTCATTCACGTGTTACTTAAAAAAAAAATTTTAAAAATGCAATCAACTCAATAAATGTCCACTTGGTGAGAAGCCACATTCTGGGCATCCTGGGAGCCGTGGAATGAAGTTGAAAGACGCCTGGACTCGGGCGCACTCACAGCTCACTTCTGACTGCACTTTGGGGCTCGCAGCACGGGAGTGAAGCGCAAATAAGATTGGGTTTATTGAAGGTCTTTCAACCAGAAAGTACAAGGCAAAGGTGACTTTTGGCATGCATAAGTATTCTTTTGATTCTTTTTGGCCTGATGGATTAAACCAACCTGTTAACTCCACCCCAAGATAAAAAAAGATTAGGCGTGAACAAATACTGCTTACAATGGAATTCAGAGAAAAAAATAGAATATGGAGGATTCTTGTTTTTCAAGTCCTGTCATTCATCATTCTCATTCTTCCACCAGTTACTCCGCCTTTTGCCCTTCAGTTTACAGCCCAGCTCTTTAAAAAATCAAGTTTATTGTCACATTGCTATAAATTAGATATACATGTAAAGAAGAAGAGACTTGCTGTATCTGTAGTTCTCTCTTGGTTTGCTAGAATTCAAGTAGATTTTAAAGTCAATGTGCTGTCCCTTATACTCTGCATGTTAAGACATAATCAAAAGTCTAAAGCTGGATCTGAGCTGGACTTAAATCATTTGATAAGTATCTTGCACGGAGTGTTTAATGCTTGTGAGATGTTCAGGTAGAGCATTTGTAGCATATAAAACCCTTGTGAGCTCTGGCTGGTGTGGCTCAGTGGATTGAGTGCTGGCCTACAAACCAAAGGGTTGCTGGTTCGATTCCCAGTCAGGGCACATGCCTAGGTTGTGGGCCAGGTCCTCAATAGGGGGCGCATGAGAGGCAACCACACATGATGTTTCTCTCCCTCTCTTAGTCCCTTCCTTCCCTTCCCTCTAAAAATAAATAAATAAAATAATAAAAAAAAATAAAACCCTTTTGAAAAATAGTTAACATATGTAATTTTGAAATCACCAAAAAGTGTGAAGTAAATGTACAGAAATTTTTTATGTTTATTTAAAATTCCTTCAACGCAGTTTTCCTTTTGACTTACATTATTTTTTTTAAGATTTTATTTATTTATTTTTAGAGAGGGAAGAGAGGGAGATAGAGAGAGAATGAAACATCAATGTATGATTGCTGGAGGTCATGGCCTGCAACCCAGGCATGTACCCCGACTGGGAATCAAACCTGCTACACTTTGGTTCGCAGCCTGCGCTCAATCCACTGAGCTATGCCAGCCAGGGCTGACTTACATTATTTAGTAGTGAATTCCCACCTATAAAAGGGTGAATGACTGTTTTGTGATTCTGCTCAAATATTAATATTGCTATATGTAACTGACTAGGTATTGTGGAAAACTGAAAGATTAATAAGACAAATACACCTTAAAATAACTTACTCTTTGACAGTGGAAATAGGCTCATTGTGTATGAGAGCAACCATAGTCATGGAGAGAACAACCTGGTGGTGGGGAAGGGTATAGATTCTAGTTTTCTCCAGGTGCTTCCTCGTTCTTCTCATTCTAGTATCTGTTCCTTGCCAGCGGTGCATCCCTTCAGTCCTCCTCTGGACTGAAAAGCATTGCCACTGCAGGTCAGCTCCATTTAAATGATTTCCTTTCCTAATCTGCAACGAACCCATTTTTGAATTTCTGTGTGTTTCATTATTGAACAACCTTGTAAAAAATAACGATGGTGACTGATGAGAACGTCAAGTCAAATCCCTGTAAGTGATTAATACCATAAAACATTCAGATTGCCATATTTTACCTGAAGGACTGGTCATCTCGTACCTTAAAAACTGAAATAGAGAGCGGGTAGGTTTTAGTGGGGGATAGAGAGCGCCGAATCTGGAACACAGATGCAGCATGGGGAGGGCAGTCTCTGTGGGGTGGAAAACTGCAGCAGAGAAATTGAAGCAACCACCTAAGGCAGGGCCTTTACCTGGAACCAGCGACTTCCAGAAAGTCAATGACTGAGTCACAGGAAGATAGAAAAACCCTGAAATTATGTGAAAACTTTTATGTGCTTCAGTGCACTTTCCTGGGGAAGATGCCTTAAGATTCTTCCAAGGGTCCTGGTTAGGAAGCAGAGTTAGGAAAAGCTAGTCTGAAGAGACCATCAAAAAAGGTTCTCCGTGGTAGCGACAGGTAAGCAGGTGACATCTGTACTGAAGGAGAGGAAGTATAACGTCACCATTCTCCTGGTCTGAAACTGCCAACTTTAGAGCTGAGTGGGAACCAAACTTTTTAAAAAAAATGTCAAATTATTGTGTATTTTTGTCAAAGACTGCTCTTAAAAAATAGAAACATTGAGTTTCTATTTTACATTATTGGAAAGATTGTAAAATAGATACTGACTATATTCTGTGATAAAGCTGATGAATTTATATATTTTTATTTTTGGATGAACATGTTTTCCTTGGTGAATTAGAATGCATAGGCTGCTGAGGGTTCTTGAACCCCAGATGCACGGTTCAGCTGCTCTGGGGACACAGATGGAAATGACAGGGTGACGGCCCCAGAGCAGCTTGCAGTGCATTCGGGAGGCTCCTCACCAAAAAATGGCCACATTAGGTGTTACAAACCTTGGCCAGTAGCCGCTGAGTACACTAACATGTTACTTTTCAAAGGTAATTTAACATAAGCCATTTACTTAGATGATATATAAAAATATTTCCTATTTTAAAATAAAACAAAATTTAAAAGAAAACAGAGAAGAACCACTGCTACGTGTAGCATAATTTTTGAAAGGTCCTTTCTGGTCAATGCTAGTTTATTATAATATCATGAATATAAATAGAGACTAAAAGCATGAAGCCAGCAAAGGAAATCCAGTTCATTAAAAGAATTACATACAATTTCATTGAGTGTTCCCTACCCTTTAATGAAGACCTCGCTTCTGAATAGCAATCATACATGGATTCTTTACATAGAGCGGAGCTTGACCACTGATTAAATAATCGGGAAATTTTGCTTGCTTACCTGAACTGGCCAGTGCTCTTGCTGGAAGTGTGTTCTGGATGTTTCTGGTTAAAAAATGGGTGTGGATTGAGAGACACAGGCAAACACACGCCCCTGACCTGCAGCCCCACCTACATCGACACAAGAGCACGTTCACCTGCAAACTTAGAAACATAGGTTTGTCTGCAAAGCCCTGGACTTCCTTCCCATTCTCATGCTTCTCATGCTGAAAAAGACTGCTCTCTAAATTAAGTTGGAGTGTCCTTCTAAAAGGAGGCCAAATACAGTCTTTGGGGTTTTTTCTCTTCTACCTTTTACAAGGTAATTTAATGTTTGGCTGGAGTTCAACACCAGAAAAAATAAAAAGGGAGGAAGAAAGGAACTGGTCTGAATGCAGGAACTTGTGTGTGGATCATTGTTCTCAGTGAAAGTTCAGCCAGGCTTGTAGATTAGATACAAAGCAAACAGAAATTCCTAAGGGTTACTCTGTTTACAGGAATGCAATTAACAGCTAAAGAGATCAGGTCCTATTTTACAGAGAGAGAGAGAGAGAGAGAGAGAGATGCTGTTTTAAAATTTAACATTTTAATAATGTGATTATTCTTTGCAGTCTTTCTATAAAACTCTTTTACTGTGCAAAAAATAGAAAGACAGACAATTAGATAAGTTTGTTTAAATTTGTCTAATAGTTAGAGATAATATTTTTAATAATTAGTCCATGGTTATGGAAAAACATTTTTAAGTATAAAGTTGTGTCAAAACAAAAAGTAAAGTTATCTTCTCCCATCTCCAATACTGCATTTCCTTGTGCACCCCACCCAACGTGTGCACACCCCCCCTTCAGTTTCACTTCCCAGAGCTAATCACGGTTAAAATAATCCAAGGCAGGGTTACCAGATCTGCCCCACCTGTTTCTGTATAACCCAGGAGCTAAGAATTATTTTTGCATTTTTAAATGGTTGGGGGGGATATCAAAGGAAGAATCATATTTTGTGACATGTGAAAATTCAAATTTCAATGTCCGTCAATAGAGATTACTGCATGGAACCCAGCCATGGTCATTTCCTTAGGTGTTGTCTGTGGCTACTCTGGCACTGTGAGTGCTCCGCTGAGTGCTGTGATGGGGACTGTGTGTCCGACAAGCCCTGAAATATTTATAGTCTGACCTTCTACAGGAAATGTGTGCGGATCCCTAATGTAGGATACAGTTCCATAATGTTTTCTTCCTCTCTCCTTCCTTGCCTTCTCTCTTTTTGTGTAATTACTCAATATATCAACAAATGTACTGCTGAGAGGGGTTGATGATTGTTTTGCTTCTAATATTAAAGTGAATGTGCTTCTAATATTTTAACTTTAGACAGGGGTCTGGTTTGGTTGACCACATTAAGAAGGTAGCCATTGCGTATTCCTATACTACATCTCTCAAAATCAGGAATGATAGATTTTGTTTTATAGAGATGGATATGGTACATTTATAATTTTCCTCACCAAACCCTCTGTGATCTTGAGGGAAACCCCAGGTAGCCGGGCTGCAGTATTCTTGTACTACACCGCTGAGTTGTGCATTCGTTTAAATTCTGCTTTCTTCCTTATAAAGGACTCTCAAAGGGAACCTTCCTTGGGACATGCTATTCCAATGGAATTCTGTCTGCTGAAGGTGAGGAAACTTGTGGTACAGTTTAAAATTTTAAACCCAGAATTTACAAAGCAGAGTGAGTCATGGTTTCCTCTTTGAGAGGAGGGTGGAAACACGTTCGCCTTGTTCCTGCCTGAGCAGTCTATAGAAAATGCTCAGAGGTGCCCAGCATTTCTGCTCAGCTCCTTACATATTATCTGTTATAATGGATAACTCGGTGAACATGAGAAAGAAGTCAAGTACCTAAGGG